AAAAAAAATAAAAAGCACTGGACCTTGTCTGGCCTGTGAGGCTCAGTGGATTGAGCCGTGTCCTATGCACCAAGCAGTCACGGTTCGATTCGTGGTCAGGGCACATGCCCGGGTTGCACGCTCAATCCCCAGTAGGGGGCGTGCAGGAGGCAGCCGATCTATGATTCTCTCTCATCATGGATGCTTCTCTCTCTCTCTCTCCCTCTCTATTTAAAAGTCAATTGAAAAAAAAATATCCCTGGACCTTCCCCCACCCGCGTGTGAGAACATTTTTTTTTTTTTTGTAAATAAACCGAGCCTTTGTTTCTAGCGTTGCAGAACCATCTGCGCCTTGGACAGATTAAAAGGCAATTACTGGAAGGCCCTGTGCTGAGCCGACTCCCAGCCTGTGCGTTACCTCATCAGAGTGGGGATGGGGACCGCCTGCTCCGGCCGGAGCGCGCAAGGCTGGGGACGTGTCCGTGTGGCGTTGAGTCTGCTGGGGCAGCAGACGCCCCGGGGACGGCAGGCTCCGCACAGCTGGCTTGGCCGCCTCCCTTACCCCCTCGCCAGACGGCTGCTCCCGGGCGTGCTCGTCCGATTGTTTGTAATTAATTTATTGGCCCCGGAGGCCTGGCCTGGGCCTGGGATGGTGCTGCTGGGTGTGGCTTTAAGTGCGCGTGAGTGTGTGTGCGCATGTACCCATGTGTGCATGCGTGTGCATGTGTGTGTGCACTGCACGTGCATACCAGGAGGGCTGCGTGGGAGTGTGCCTCTGGCTCGCTGCTGGCCACTTCGCAACAAGCCACACACAAAAAAATTTTTTTAAATAAAACCAGAGAGATGGCCTCGAAGGCCCTGAGGAGCCGGACGGCGTCCTTGCTGGAGGTCAGCTGTCTGCGCGGCTGGGTTGGGATGTTCATGAGCAAACCAGCACCGCGGGCCAGAAACTATTCTCTGTCCCTTTCATTGGAACGCTCTCCCCGCTTGGCCCAGCTGCTGCTGGTTTCTGAATGGAAGTAGACACCCAGTGAGCTGCCCGCTCGGGGTGCCCCGGGTCCCAGCGCATCTCCGCGCAGAGCGGGCAGCTCGGGGGCTGTTGGAGGGACTGGGCAGGAGGGTGTGGCTCAAGTCCACCCCAGAGTGGAGTTGAGATCCACAGAGGATGTTACCGGCCGGCATGGCTCCGTGGTTTAGCATCAACCTAGGAACCGGGAGGTCACAGTTTGATTCCTGGTCAGGGCACATGCCCAGGTTGCAGGCTCGATTCCCAGTAAGGGGCGTACAGGAGGCAGCCGATCCATGATTCTTTCTCATCACTGATGTTTCTCTCTCTCTCTCTCCCCTTCTCTCTTCCTCTCTGAAATCAATAAAAATATTATCTTAAATTTTTTTTAAAAAAAATACCTGCTAGGCATTTGTTGTGGCTACTATTCTTACTAGGCTGAGGCCAAAGCGTCGCGTGCCCACCGATCCCTCTGTGAGCTCTGGAAGGGCAGGCCCAGCCCTGTGCCCCTCACCATCCCGTCCGCCGTGTGACCGCCCGGACCCTCCCGGCGAGGCGAGGTCAGGGCCCAGGATTCTGAAGGCTGTGTCTGTCTCCGCTGCAGGGATTGCTTACTTAGGAGGCGTGTGCAGTGCCAAGAGGAAGTGTGTGCTCGCCGAGGACAACGGCCTCAACCTCGCCTTCACCATCGCCCACGAGCTGGGCCACAAGTAAGTGTCGGCCACTCGGGTGTTTAAACTCCTTCCCGAGGACGTGTCTCTGCACCCGAGCTCTCCCCATCCGGAGTCCGTGCTGGTCCGCGCCCTGCTTCTTCCACAGCGTGGACCCGGCCAGCGAGCCTGGGCTCAGCCCTGCAGGGAACCCCAGAGCTCAGCCAGCCACAGGCTCGGAGGGTCGAAATCTTTTTTTTAAATATATTTTTTATTGATTTCAGAGAAGAAGGGAGAGGGAGAGAGAGAGAGAAACATCAATGATGAGAGAGAATCATGGATCCGCTGCCTCCTGCACGCCCCCTACTGGGGACGGAGCCCGTAACATGGGCATGTGCCCTGACTGGGATTCGAACCGTGACCTCCTGGTTCGTAGGTTGATGCTCAATCCCTGAGCCACGCTGGCCAGGCTCTGAGGGTTGAAATCTTAACTTGGGGTTTGGGTCTGTTCTGAAAGCATCTGCTGGAATGTGAAGAGGTTTTTCTCAGCGTCTTCTGCTTGCATTTCTCTCCCGGGATCCGCATGATCTCTGAGTCACTCTCAACCCACCATTCAAGTATAGGATTTATTTATCTTCATCTGGTTGCCTCCTTACTTCCTTTTCAGCCAGTTCCCAAGTCCAGGTTTCTGAAGGTAGAACATCCGTGCCTTAACCTTTTTTAAAAAAATAGATTTTTATTGATCTCAGAGAGGAAGGGAGAGGAAGAAAAAGAGAAACATCCATGATGAGAGAGAATCATGGATCAGCTGCTTCCTGCACGCCCCTAGTGGGGATGGAGCCCACAACCCAGGCTTGTGCCCTGACCTGGAATTGAACCAACTGTGACCTCCTGGTTCACAGCTCGACACTCAACCACTGAGCCTCGCCAGCCAGGGTGTGTCCTTGTTGGAATTAGGGCTGTTGTGTCACAGACGGTCGGGGTCGGTCTTCCTTGCAGACCAAGAAGGGTCTGCAGGCAGGCACGGCGCTGGGGTCTGCTTTTCCATCAGGCGGTCCAGGCTGGGTTTGGATGGGCTCCTCCCTGGCCCCCCGTGTCCTGCCGTCCATTGCTACTCAGCTCCCAGGGCCATCAGCGCCGGACTGAGGGGCAGGTGGGCACGCGAGCAGGTGCTCCGGTCTCACGCCAACGTGCGTGGGCCCCGGATCAAAGTCTACGTGTGAGCGTCCTCCCGGCCCCGTCTGTCTGATCCAGTTCCTGAACCGGACAGATCATCGGGGCCCATGTCCTCTTGTGATGATGCTTCCTCAGCGTGCTGCTGAGTGTTGCAGGGTCTTGTGCATGCATCACGGACAAGCCTGGTCCCGTCCTCCCCTGCCGTCTGCCATGCCACATCCCCCCCCCCTCCTCCTCCTGTGTCTGCCCTGAGCTGCAGGACTGGCTTCCGAGGAGGGGCCCCTGGGGACTCGCAAGGACCCCCTGCACCCAGCCCTTCTCTTCATAACAGCCCCCGCCTCCCTCTCCCACACCAGCAAAAGCAGACTCTCCTGCCTGTCTCTGAGGGGTGATTTTGAACGGGAGGGGCAGCTTCTGGAGCCGCAGGAACCTTCTGGCAGGTGGCCCCACTCAAGTGGCCTTTGTGCCCTAAGTGGGAATTTCCCACTGCCCAGCATTAACAGGAATCGCATGGAAATCACCAAGATTTCCTTTGGAGTCTTACCAGGATGCAGAGTCCAAGGCGAGGCAAGGACGCTGCTTCCAGCCCGGCCCGCATGGCTCCGTGCTTGAGCGTTGACCTATGAACCAGGAGGTCACGGTTGTTTCGATTCCTGGTCAGGGCACAGGCCTGGGTTGCGGGCTCGATCCCCAGTGTGGGGCGTGCAAGAGGCAGCCGATCCATGGCTCTCTCTCTCTCTCATTTTTGTTTCTCTCTCTCTCTCTCCCTCTCCTTTTCTCTCTCCAGCCAATCAATGGAAACATCCTATATAATAAAAGGGTAATATGCAAATTGACCTTAACGGCAGAATGACCAGAACAACTGCTGGACCAGTCACTGTGAGGCACACTAACCACCTTTTGGTCCCTTTTCCTGGCCATCAGGCTCCGATCGCCCGATGGCCATCTGCGGCAGGGGCGGGGCCAGCGAGAGGGAACAACCGATCTCTTGGTCCCTTCCCCCGGCCGTCAGGGACTGATCACCCGATGGCCCGGGGAAGGGGAAGCGGGTGGGTGGCGGCTGGGGGTGGGGCCAGCTGCAGGCGGCTGGGGAAGATGGCCCTGATTGCAGGCCAGGCCTAGGGACCGTACCCGCGCACGAATTTCATGCGCCGGGCCTCTAGTATTTAAAGTAAGTAAGTGTTTTCCATGGGGGAGTCACTAGAACAGCTTTTGCACCCCGATTTTGGAATCTCTTCTGCCCTCCCTGGCCGTCACCTGTGCTCGGAGACACCCACACGAGGGGCTTCGCGTCTCTGGGGGAACCACACACTGAGAGGCTCTGTGTCCGGAACCCCCTTTCCTTCCCCATCCCGGATGGGATTCTGCGGGGAGGACCTCCTTCCCTGTCTTAATAACCTACTCTCCGCTACAAAGTTGCCGCTCGCGTAACCTCTCATCCGCTACAAAGTTGCCGCTAGTGAAAATACCAATTAGCGTTTGGGCGCCGCTCCTGGCATCGCCTCTTCACAGGATGGCTGCTCGGAGCCGGAATTCAGAGGGGCTTCGGGCCGAGCTGAGAGCTGCGTACACCGTCATTAAGGCGGCCAGGAGAAGCTGTTTTTATCCGGCACCTTGAATGCCATCTTAAGCAGGAGTGATTACTGCAAGAAGCCTATAATTTGCACGAGGGGAAGTGAAGATTCTTTTTAAAGATAAAA